AAACAGCCCATATTTCAGACGACTGATTTAAGCCAGCAGCAGGAGTAAGGACATATTACAGAAGTAAATGCTTGCAGACTAAAGCTCCATTATATCTGCATCACTGCAACCTATTTTTCAACATTAAAAAAATTCCTGAGCCTTACCAAAGACTCCTATTAGCTAATGTGGACTCTTTGTGTTCAGATGCTAGAATTATATGCTTTTGAAGCAAAAGACATATCTTTCATAAATGAATGTGAAAGTTCTAAAGAAAGAAAGTTCTAAAGAAATAATAAAATAAACACTGTAGTATTATATTTTCAAAAGAGTTTTTTTTTTTTCTGGAGGAAGGCAGTTTGCGGGAACACTGAGCATATACTTGTTAAAATCACACAGAAAGAAACGTAAGGATTTTTTTCAAAGACAAGACAGGATCTCTGAATAAACAAATACCTCAGTTTTGCAACAGATTTTTGTTGTGTGTTGCTTAATATATACCACCTTGAAAGCCACACAGTTGTGTTGTATATTTTTCATTTTAGATGACACTCATTTATTCCAAACAATTAGTTCTGTGTGTTCTAAACATGAGATACTAGCAGAGCAACACATCTAATTCAGTTTTAAATACAAAAATCCCCCATTTATGTACTTATAATGAAACTAGGAGCTCTAATACTGAGTCGTACTATAAAGAGGAAAAGAGAAAGAAAACCTCTACATTTAACACAGCTCTTTGCTTCTAAATTTCTGCTCAAACTTCCATTTGTTTTTTACTCAATAAATTTCTTAAATGCCTTGGCTTCCAAATGACAAAGATGAAACTACTTAGGCATCATAACTCAAATGTTTACTGTCATTTGAGGATGGAAGGATTCAAGTGAGGAAGACCTGCCTATACGATTCCAGATGCACTCCCCTGAAGACACATGACCTAACATAGGTGAAAGAAAACATTTAGTACGACCTTAAATGAACTGCAATTTCACAAATGGCAGAGATTTTGACTAGCTAGCTACCCATATATATAGCAAGACATTTCTAAAAGGCCTCAAGATTAAAGGTATCAGTGCTTAGATGGAACCAGATTGCTTTTTTTCTTTAATTTTTTTCCCTTCCCAATAGCTAGATACCATTTATGAGTTGAGGAAATACAGGTGAACCTTCAGTGGAAAGCCTCCATTTCTAACAGCATCATTGAAAGAAAAGGCAGCATTAAGAGGACAGATTTGACCATATCTGAGTAAAGGCTGATTCTCAAATTAATAAAAAAATTTACTTGATAGTATTTTTGGGGGTTTTCACACATTCTGTTTTTTTTTAATCTTGCATTTAAAAGCACAGAGGCTTAACTTAACTCTTCATCTCTTCCCTTATTTATTCAGCATTTTAAGATCATCTCAAAACTATCTCTTCTTGCTAATTTCTGTTTTCTATTGTTGAAGCTAAATCTGTAGGCAATCCACATGCAAGTACTCACGGTTATTTTGTTTGTGTTTCGTTTTCTCCTTTTTTCTTTAAGCAATTCACATTAGTATTCTATATCTTATTTCTTGCCTCCTAAGGACAAACATACTATAAAATGTTCTCATAAATCAAATTTAAGTGCACTACAGAGGTAACACTGATAGCAAAAATGTCATGCTTTGTCAGTGGGTTAGTGGAGAATGACCCATTTTCATATTAAAGTGATAAAATTCATATGATAAAGCACATAAAAAATTGTGACATTTATACCGCTGAGACTCCAGTGAGATTTAGATCAAACCTATATCACCTATTCATTCTGAATAGTCTGGAAAAGCAATGTATTCCTGGAGAAACAGGTAAAAACAGATATGTTTATTTCTTCTCCTTTGGGACCCAGATACCAAATTCAAATGAGAAAATTCTGACATATTAAAAATAATAGATCATATATAAAATAAATATTTTTTCCTTCTTTTTTTTGACTTTCCTGTTTTTTCATGGGAAATCACACTAGGTAAAATATTATCATTCAAAACAGATAGTCTTGAAATTCTCCTGCACCTACAAATATTGGTCAGGCACACTCAGCTCCAGTAGGAGGCATTGTTCAGTTAGTTTAGATGGGACACTTGAAATTTTGTTATCATGGCATTAGGAAATGAAAGCAAAATCACAGCTTTAAAACAATCTCAAAGGTTAACTTCTTTATAATTCACTGTGGTGTTAATTACAACTAATTATATGAATCTTTTGGCTACCAAAATGACAGCAACTACCCTGTAGATTCCGTGAGACTTTGGAAAGTGGCAACACTCTTGAGAGAAAATAATTGAAGGGCACAGGTGCTCATTTTTCACATCCGTAGTTAATTACTGTATGCACACACAAGGACAGGAAAATTTGTCTCTAATCATTTGCAGATATCTGATTGGTTAAAACCAATCTTTTATAACTAATTTTTAGGTAATAGAGTGAAAACTGTAACTACAAGCATGAAAAGTCATAATCGAACTCTTGCAGTGGTCAGCTTTCTCTAAATCTCACAGGTACTTATTATATAATTAAATTTCTTTTTAACTGACATTTTTGGACAAATTCTGAGATAAATATCTGAACCATCATTAATTTCAATCCATGTCTGCCTATGCTCAATTCTACTTTATGCAATCAACGCAATAAATTCTACAATTAATTTTGAAGTTTTGGTTTGTTTTCTAGTTGTTAAAGCATGAAAATTTGGTATTGGGGATTATATATCTCAGAGAATATGCTGATCTGGAAGGGACCATATGTGTACGTAAATGTACATAAATGCATGTAGACTTTTATGCAATAGGATATGTACACATGTATGTTTACGAAAAGGATTTTTTCTGTACTTCTGTGTATGAAAAAACATAGACACATTTGTATTCTTAAATTTTTTATCTTGAATGTTCATTTGAGGCTTATAAAAAGAAATGGACTGATAAATACATATAAATATTATTAAAAGAGTTGCTGTGCAATATCGCTTTCTCACAGTGTTGAGTTTCACTCTTTTGAACACACACTATAAAGTGACAGCTTTCAAAACAATTTTCAAAGAAAATAATAAGACAGAAGAATTTTCTTTCTCTGAGGGACCTCCAGGTCGCTGATGAAAATTTAGATGCAAAAACCATTTGAAACAAGAGATTCTACAATTTCTGTGTTTTACCTACTGCAACATCTTTCTGCTTCACAGAGATTTAACGCTTCTATTTACAAGGTGAATGTGCATAACAAGTTTTTCATAATGTCCACTATAAAAAGAAAGCTAAACAAACAATACTTTATTCTGGTTTTTGTTGGTTTTGATTTTTTTTTGTTTTGATTTTTGTTGTTGTTGTTTGATGGGGTTTTTTATTTTTAATTTGGCTTTTATGAATATGACCATTCAAAGTTGCTGTGAGGATGTAAGAATTTCCATTACAGCAAGAATGTGACCATAGATTGTGTTACCAAACAAATTTAAGCTCTGTGTTCCTATTTCCTATCAGCTATGAAAAGAAATCTCAAGACTGATTCAAATATCATCTAGATTGTCACAGGTGGACATAGTGCTATGTATTGTGGATTTGATCAAAACTTTTTCTCCTGCTGCTAGCAGTAAATATTCCTTCTCTCATTTCTTAAAAGTAGGAGCCTCCACAGTTTATCACAGAAGAGAACCTGTCTCACACTCTTAGCTCTTAAGGTGTCAAAGGATTTTATGAATCAAAACATGGCTGAAAACACAGCGCTCTTGACTCAAAAACTAACTGGGTTGAGGTATCTCTAATTTTGCCAATCAACAGGCTGGGCGGTATTTTTCAAAATATGGAAAAAAGTTTATGACAAAGTTAGAAAAATTTCATATTTCCAGAGTGCAAGCAATAAAGCTGTAAGGTAGTTACCCCCGAAATAAAGAGCTATTTTGACTTTAGTAGTATGTGATTTAAGAAGGTACAATCTTATTCCGATTGCACAGTGAAGAGTTCCACTGAAACTGTAAAATTCTGGTTTCATTGTACACTAGTACTAGATTTACCTGTCCCACATTTTTCAGATATGACACTGAGCATACTTTTTTCAAGACACACTTGAAACTTTCAAGACACTTTTTGAGAATTTTATCTGATGCTAAAGTAGTGGTCAAAAAGCACTTCCAAATAGTATGTTAAGTGTGTATTAAAATTTATAGAGAACAAAAATAAGGAAGAATGGTTTGGATTAGTTTTTAATAGTCACAAAATACTCATTTTTATCACTTGCAAATATTTATTTATAAAAAAAAGGATGAATCTGTATTTGCATAATTTCATGGTGACATGAACTTTCTGAATAAGATTGGTACTTTGTGCTGTATGGGAAAAACACACTGATATAGGTGAGGGCACACACTTTCAGCCTAGAGGAGTGAAGGAGTTGTGCTCAACTGACCCCTTGTTCTCCCTGATGGCAGGAAATCCACCCTGAACGGACCTAACATCAGAGCAAACTTACATCTCTCCCTGGCTGACCAACCAGGGTGATGTGTTACAGTATAGTCTTACAAGAAAAGGTGGAGATAGTTAGACATAAATACCCTAACAGAGATGTGCACTGTTTTCTCCTGGAATAGAGTTCATTTTCTCCATAGTAGCTAGCATTGGGCTATGTTTTGGATTTTGGAAACAGGGTTGACAACACAGGGATGTTCTTGTCACACAGAGCCTAGGCCTCCACTGCTCCTTTCCCCATTCCATCCCAGCAAGGATGCTGACATGTACAAGGAGCTGGAAGGGGACATAGTCAGGACAGGTGATGCCAACTGTGGTGTCATGCTCAGTATACAAATCTTGAGGAAGAAGGAGAAAGAGGGGGATGTTTGGAGTGGTGATATTTATCTGCCCAAGGGTGTGTTAGGCATGATGGAGACCTGCTTTCCTGTGCGTGGTTGAACACCTGCCTGTCCATGGGAAGCAGGAATCAATTCCCTGTTTTGCTCTGCTCACAAAAAATGGCTTTTGCTTTAGCTATAAAACTATCCTTATATCAACCCACAGGTTTTCTCCTGAGCACCAGAGGAGGTGGATGTCCAAAGGAGGTTGTGAAACCCAGGGGAAGATCACACTGGAACAGGCTCCTGGCAGGACCTGTCACCCCTTGGAGAGAAGAGCGCATGCTGGAGCAGATTTACTGGCAGGACCTTGTGTAAGGATGCACTGGAAGGGATGCACCCATAGGAAAGACAATGGTGGACCAGTCTGTGAGAAGCTGCAGCCTGTGGGAAATGCACATGTTGGAGAAGTTTATGGAGGACTGACTCATGTGGATGTGTCCCTGTGCTGGAGCATGAGCAGTGTGAAGGGTTCTCACCCTTAGGAGGAAGCAGTGGCAGAAACAAGAAGCTGCAATTCATATTCCTTGTCCACCTGCACCTTGGAGAAAATGGGGAGTAAAGCTGGTCCTTTTAAAAAGGGAGGGATGGAGGCATGGAGTTTAAAGATTTTGTTTCACATAATTCAATTTGATTGTCAATAAATTAATTTCCCAAAATTGAGTTTGTTTTGCCTATGTAATTGCTGAGTGATGTCTCTCTGTCTTGACTAATGAGACTTTCATTACATTTTCTCTCCCCTGTTCTGCAGAGGAGAGGAGTGATAGAGCAGGTCAGCCTGCTACACTGGAGTTAAACCACAGTAAGCTGGTATAATAGTAAAAAGAGGACTATGTGGCCTAAGTAATTAACAAGTAAAGAGAAAACGTGACAGAGCATTTAGTAGTCATTTTACCAATATTTCTTTGATGTTTTATGCATTCGCTGTTCCACTGCTTCATTTTCTAAATATCAAGATATTCTATTAACTGACTGCCTGTGTCTTTCACTCACATTAGCTTTGGGTCTAGTGAACTCTGAGGTATCAGATTTAGGTTCTTTGTCCTTCTCCCCCAGTCTCTTCATCAGAGCTGGAGGTCCTGAGTCCAAATCAGGAGGGAATAATTAAATTAAGAAATTAATGCCAGAATTTTCAGATCTGTGTAGGAAGTTCTCTGTAGTTATTTTTTTATGTAAATTGTTGTATAATTCCTGCTACGTTATCATCTAGCTGAGAGAGCAGAGAGCCTTCTCATTTTTTGAAAGGAATTTGAAAGGAATTTAGGAAGTTGTACATCACACACAAAAAAATTAATTTCTTGCTGAATGAAAACATTGTATGAAATCCACTAAATTCATAGATGGTTGATAAATTAATTTGGGGTTAAATTACATTAATCGTGATTTTTTTGATTTGGATTCATTTGAAGTAAAAATATCACAGCTTAACCTCTGTTACAATTAATATTCTGGTTCTAATTAAAAGCAAATTGAAATGTCAGATTTTGCTTTGTCTCAGAAAATGTGTCAGGGCCCTGAGATAGGTCTTGAGGTTCTTGATAACCAGAAGCTCTAGACCTGTGACTTTAAGGTGACCTGAGTCAGGAAAAGGACACAGAGGAGTTGCCACAGCCTTTAGTGTTTAAGTCTAAGCTTCTCTCTGTCAGCTCAAGATATATTTGCCCCTTGATCTGAACAGAATTTTTCTGCTCTACGAGGCTTAAATCAGCTACCCACTTCAGGCATGAAGATGGGAAAAATCAAAATCACACACATCAAACATGAGGAAAATTATAGGCACTGTCTTCACTAGGCCAATAATATTATTAAAAAAAAAAAAAACTGAAAAGGCAAAAATCATATTGGATACTTCTGTAACCAGAAATTATGTAGAAATTTTATTTCCAGTAGATAGATGCACACTGCTGCTGGTCTTTCAAAGAACCATCAGCACACCTACTGGTCCACAAGGATCACTCCCTTTCTGTTCACCAGTATGCACTACAAGGAATTTTGAAGAATACGATGGAGTTCGGGCATTCAAGAATTGAGAGTGACAGAGTGAGGGAAAACAATGTCTTTTTTTCATTAGTGTTATATTGTTTTTAAAAGTACCATACTGAGTGCCACTATATTTTATACTGAATGCAAAGAAGTAATCACAGCATAAACCCAATTGCACATACACAAATAGACCCTTGCAAGATTTGAAAGATTTTCTAGGACACTTCCCTTCTTTCCCCCATGTCTTTCCTGCAGGACTGGTTACATAGGTAACACAGCATTAATTTTTATGCCAGCTTTCATGGAGCTTTAGCCTTGCGAAAGCTTTGCTTTTGCAAAGGAGAAGATAATTTGATTTTGATCATTTTCATATTCCAAATAAAATAATCTTTTTTAAGGGAAAATATTTCCTTTATCTTTTACATTATGAAGAATTTTCAGGTTCTATGCAGAAATGTATCTGAACACTAACATTCACCGTACACTGGATACACATGTCTCTGCTAAGAAAACAACTTTTGTCTTTCAAAATTTTTGTGAAAAATTAACATATTCCTATTCACCTATATATTAAAAGTCACTGAATTTTTATTTTTTATGCTCTTTGAATTGTTGTGTTACATGACATTTGACTTGTTTTTGTGAAGTAGTTACCTTTGTAATATCTTTTGTAGTTTTAGAAAATGTAAAAATCACATAATTGTAGAAGAAAAAAATCACATAAGACACATATTTTTATGCTTATGTATAAAATCTAATGACTTTCATATGGAAGCATCCTCTACTAAAATTTCTGACATGATATTCTATGCTACCAAAACTTGTGAATATTTTTCTTCTAAAGAAAAATAAAAAGGAAAATTTGAGAGAAGGGAACCAAAAAAATCTATTGATTAATAAAATAGGTTTTTTTCATTCTTTTGATTACATGTCCAAATGCCATCTTTACTAGGATAGTTATGCAGATTCTTTGTTTTTTCAATGATTCTCAATTGCAAAGAGTAGAATTACATAGCAAATGTACAACTACAACCATTAGTAATGCTCATTTTTGTGTATTTGTTTTCTTTTGGATTTATTTGATAGCAACTGAACGGCTGTACACTTTAAAATGATTCAGATTTCTGAGGTATGTACCTTACACTTTTTTCAGTCCTTCCTTTTTAGCTAAACCTTCTCTTACATTCATTGCTTGATTTTACATGTGACTCAGGAAGATAAAAACTCCTTTCCTCAGCTAATATTTACCTGTTTAAGCTATATATAGATTTTGTTACTTTTTAATCTTTTTGCCAAAGTATAGGTCTTAAAATCCTTTATCACTCCAGCCCCTGCTCCCAGCACATTTTTTTCATCGTCTTCTCTTAGGTTTTGCCTATAAGTAACAGTGAAATGGACTGTAAAGCCAGAAATCAAACGATATAGTATATCATAATTTTCTGGACATATATTATGCTTTTTTGATGTCTGCAGCCCACATTTGCATACTTGGGGGAGCTTCATCTCACTGCAAACTGATGACTAAGTTGCTATTCACCTTCACTTTATGTACCTCAACTATGCTTAAATTCTGCTGCATAAATGTGTAGCTCAGACTGTTCTTACTAATTTCATTCTCTGTCTTAAGATAAATTAAACGACAATTTCCCCAAAATACCCACATTTCCCCCCAGTTTTAATGTGAGTTCTAATAAAAGGATTCCTGGGAAATTTATGGAATTCAGGAGAAGTGCTCCTTTTGACATTAATCTACCTTTCCATGAGTTACTTCTCTTTCTCCTTTGATGTTTTACAATTGAAAGAAGCTGAGAAAGTTCCCCACTAGCACTGAATATTGCAATATCAAAGGCATATGGGTTTTGGAAGATGGGGAACTATGGGGGAAAAAAAAATCTTGAGGATTCAAAGACTTCTGCAACCAGAGGGTAGGTGTAAGCCACAGGCGATTTCTAGGTTTCATTCCCTTTTATCTCCACAGTTTCCTAAATTTTAACTCTTCTGTCAGAGACAACCAGAAAAAAATTCCAAAACCTGCTTATGTTTCTTTGGGATTTTTCCCCTTTGCACATAGTGCTACTCCCCTCAATAAGTTATTTTTTTATCAATCTTATAGTCATGGAACAGCCTTATGCACAATTAAAAGAAGGATGTGACAGTTACATGTTAAGCTGCATGTTTTCTGGAAGCAGTTCAGCTGGGCAAGAAAAAATACTTCATTCTTGTCAGCAATAAATTTCCCTTTCACAACAAATGTGATGCAGGCTTTTCTCAGTACCTTTATGATTTCAGTGTCTTCTGCGCCGAGTCTTCCTATTTCAGATGATCCAGACTGTCTTAGTTAAGAAATAGGAAGATATGCACCTACTAAAGGTGTGATGTCAGCAGAAGACGTCAAATAGTCCTTGGCCAAATGGTCCCATGCAGGGTACTGCACACAGATAATTGTGCATGCTCCTCATATGCCACATGAAGAAAATGGAATACACTACAGCTACATATAAATTTTAATCCCCAACTCTATCACTACTCGCAGTGATTTGGAATCTTTTGAATACACTGATTTCTTTCCACACTAGATCATCACAGATGAGGCAAAAGGAATTTCATAATTTCAACCAAATTTTGTCTCCGTGACATGTTACATTGCTAGCAGCTCTTCAGAAATCTTTAGAAGGTTCAGAGGTAGTGTTGTCAAAAAATTTTTGCTGTCAAGAGAGAAAACTGTGTCTTTTCTTGCATGGAAGATGAAACTGATGTGATAAAACTCAAAAAAACAGAGAGTTCATGGTGTTGATATTATTTTCTTTGCTACACTGTGCTCCTTTATGTGTTTATGTGCAAAAGCATCTCATGTGGTCTCTACAGAAAGTGAGTTTTGCCAGATTCATGAGTTTTACAAAGTATGAAGGGCTCATTTTTATGTACTGTAACTCATATTGGCAAAATAATCAGTCTTGGTAAAATTAAGGATTCTGAGTAAGCCAGGTTGAGTTGAGACATTAGGCCAGCAGTCAAAGAAAATGTAAAAACTATAGCATTTAAGAATGAAGCTTCAGAGCTGTAACAGTATGATTTAAGACTGATTACTAAGATAACATCATTCAGTCAAAAATACTATGGGTATTTCCAGGAGGCTCCTCCTAAATTGTTTTCAGACAATATAAAAACTGAAGATAACACAGGAAGAAAAAAATCCTGCTGTGAATTCTAAAATTATACCAAACTCTTAGGTGTGTCTTGGGAATTCTCGGCATAGAAGTGGATACAGAGAGAAAAAGATAGACTCAGTTCAAGTTTAATTCAGAGGTCACATTTTGAGATTATTCGTTTGGAAGGTCTTTTTGGTAATCTTTTTCTCTAAGCCTGGCCATGTTCCTTTGCTGTGTCTTCCACAGTGTAGGCGTAAGGTAAGTCTGGATAACAATGATAATTTTGAGGATGTCTTCATAATGATCCCAAAATCAAACTGTTATGGAATGTCCCTATAGATAATCTGATCCTTAGGCCACTTATTATTCATCAAGCTGCAGTAAATTATCTATGGTATGGTATTGCAAAATATTAAGTTAGCGTAACAAAGTCCCCATGATAGAGACTAATAAGTCACTATTACGCAATCTAAAATTGTGTA